CTTTGCGATTCTATGTATAGCTTATAAATATAACTATCAATATAACTAGAGTTTACAACTCAATGTATAGTTTACAAATCATTTTGCACCTCTATTATCTTATTTGACATTTGCAAGAACCCTTTATGATTTGTTACTGTTCTTCAAGGAAGAACTTGGAATCTGAGGCTCCCTCTTTCTCTCAGCTTAAGCCTGGGGAGAAATACTCCAAAGTTCAGGGTCAGAGTCATTACTGAGATGTTGATGGGAGGGGACTGAGCTTTTTGATGACTCTGAAATACAGAGGTTGATAGAATATTAACAGCAATTACTTATTGTGTGTTTATTATGTGCTATGTGCTAGTGTATGTCGAATATTTCCCTACCCTCTCTTTTTAATTTATTTTAGATTTGCCATGTATTCTAATAAATGCTGTAAATTTATCTGGAATGCCTATTTTTATATTTTCCTTTGGAAACAGTGGAGGTGGTGGTGGTGCTGTTGGTAGGCAAACTTGTAGATATTAACCAAAACATAAATTTTCATTTAGTCCTAGATGATGCTGGGACTGAAGGAATTTGCAGGCTACTACTTGTGTATCCTTACCAGAAACCCCAGCTCATAATACACTGTATGGGTTTTTCCAGGGACGAAACTCATGAAAATTCTCACTCAAATGGTTTACATTTGTATACATGAAAATAAGTGCAATCCAAGTTCAGTTTGGGAATACTTAGCTCTTCAGTAATTTGAAATGAGATGAACAGCCCCTCCCCATTTACCTAGATTGCGAAGTCCTCAAAATGTACCTTAGATCAGAGTTGGCAAAAATTTTTGGCAAATCACCATACAGCGAACACTGTAGACTTTGCAGGCCAGACCATCTCTGTCTCGACAATTCACCCCTGAACTTCAGAGTGTGAGCTCCAAGAACAGGCAAGCAGCTATATCTGGCCCTTGGTCTGTAGTTTGCTGGACCACTGACTTAGATCCTCACAGTCACTTCTCATTCTTAGGTTATGGTTAATCCTGAGTTATCTGGGTTTATAGCTATTCCTGGTATGGATTATGGAACATGGGCCTTCCCTTCCCTCCACCCTCTTCTTTCATCCTGAACCCAGAAGCCTTGCTTTGTACATGCAAATGGCCCATCAGGGTATTTTCCTAAACAAAGGCATTTCCCTCGGAAGAGGGATCCTGCCCCTACTGTTAAGATCGATAAGTACACCACAGATGGTGCTTTCAATTGAGAACAACCACAACATAAAGGGAGATATGAAATTTTTGTCTAATTGTTCTGTTTGTCTATTCTGTGAGTGGATGATTTCATCTGGCAGTGGTGCAAATTAATACCTAAGCTTCTGCTGGAACTCAACTGTTGTTGATTTTATTGTGGTATCGGGGGTTCTAAATATAGGCAGGCAAGACGAGGAAAAGACACACCAAACTCCGTATCTATTTCGTTTTGGCAGTCTCTGAGAGCTTATATTTAAGCTTAAATTTAAATAAGCATTCTCATATTATCACTGCCGGTTTTAGAGCATTTCACTGGTGCTCTCATCGTATTACTCAAATGTATCAAAACCATACGGTTGGTTAGGGCTGCGTTGCTAAGCCACCTGGGGTTCCTTCTTTCTTTAGTACTTTGGCTTCTCTATGTTGGGGGTCTCACACCTCAGGCTCATGGGTCCCATCTCTGACCCTTGGTCTGCACACTATCGAAAAACAAAAACAAGAACTAAGAAATAGTTGCCACCATTAAAAGGAAATTTTATCTAGAAACCTGATTTTCTTATTTCCTTTGGAAAACCAGACTTAACTAAAGATCTAAGGTTTTTCTTGTCTACCATTCTGTCTCTTCAACACTGAGCCCGAGTAGGGGGCACATGTAACCTCATAGCAGGCGCTTCTCTCTTGTGTCCACCTGGTCAGTAGAGGCATTGAGTTTGTGACCCCTGCTGCGCACATGTCCCCCAGGGATCTCATCAGCTACAGTGTCCACCTGGGGACTTTTCAGTCCATCTGTCCCCCGAAGCATACTGTGGGACTCAGACACAAAACTGTGACCGGGTTAACTGTATGGTTATTATCGAGAACACATATGTTTCTGTGTTATGTTTTGTTCATTCGCTCAATGCCACTTTTTCCTTGCAAGGAAATACCTTTTAGAAGTTAGTCCCGAGAAAAAGAAAAGATTTTCTCTCTTCAAGAATTTTTAGAACATATGGACTTTCTGTTTCCGTCTGGGCTACTGGGAGGTTCAGAACTCAATTTAACAATGCATCATAATTCTGCTGATATTTCTCTCTTGATAATTATTTTAATGCTAGTTACTAAAGTGAACATACATATATGCATGTTGTACAATTTTCCGGTCCATTTTGCAAGAGATTGGGCTTCAACATGTCAGTGTATGAGTGTTGCTAATGTCTCAGAACCTGCCTCCGCATAGGCAATAGATGTGTGTCCATAAAATACTCATCGGGCTATGTCATTATTCCCTTGCTTCTTCAAGAAGGGATGTCTGCCTATCTACCTCGTGCTCGTAAGAAAGCCTATGTAATTATCAGAGAGTCCAAGCCCCTATCACATTAATCTACCTTCCTATCCATATATCTGTGAAGTCACTGGCCCAGCTCCCAGAAAGAGGATGTGGAATGACTTGTTCAGAGTCCCCAGAGACAAACATTTTATCTAAAAAGACTTAGTGTCAGATGTCCTTAAGGTATACTCTGAGAACAAATGACTTCTTCCTCATCTAGGCTCTTCGTTCTCTTTCATATGCAACTTAGAGAAAAGACCCTGCATACCTCATTTGCTGATGGTAATGCTGTCATCCTGCATCCCGACAGTGGGGGATCAGATGGGAGTAGGTTGACTTCTCTGTGGAACTGTTTTTCCAGAGCTAGAGGCCCTGGTGTCTCTGGGTAAAGGTCAGCCAATGGCATGGTCTATCCAGTCAGCTTTTCGCCACTCCACTCCCAGCTGGTTTTGAGATGAGTTTTAACTCGTCTCAAGTAATACACTCGGATGGATGCCTTGTCCTGTCTCAGTAAAAGACAAGTGACACACTGAAGTCTAATCTGTCATGGAAGGTGCGCATTCAAACAATATGTTGTACTTACTAGTCTTTTGAGGACAAACCAGCTTTATAGCATTCCACTTTATTTCCCTCACCACAAATGCATGAACACGCACCCTTTAGTCAGTTGTCCCTCTGTGCCATGGCCTGATTAACCGAGACTGTCGTTTATTAGCAAGAGAAGTAATGAGGTGATATTTGGAAAAATAGGATTTAGTGGAAAGCCGGAACATTTATTTAGATGGGATCTCATTCAAACCTGAGCTAGCATCATCTAGAAGAAATGAAGGCCTACGTAAGTTCCTTTGGGAGTGTCTAAGCCCATCTTTTGGCTACTTTTAATCTCATCGAATTAATCACTGGATCTGTTTATCTTTGTCATGAGAAGCATCTGCCAATAACAAAACCTGTTCCCCCGGGAAAACTATTAGCCTTCAGTGATTTAAAGTAAGTAATGGGGCACTCTGAATAAATTGTATCCTGCAAGAGACACCATTTGATAATTCACACTCTCATGAGAAATATTGGAAGAACCTTTCTACAGGCAATAATGTCACATTCCTTATTATGGTTAGCATAACTTTAACTCTGACAAGTTTTATTTTTAGTCCCTAAAGGATGTGTTTTTCAGAATGTGTACAGAAAATAACGTTTGAAAAGAAAAGTTATTTTCTGCAGTCATAAAAATCTATTAAGGTGAATTTTTTTTCAAGTACAGTGGTATTTTTTAAAAGATCAGTGACAAGAAAGCTCTGTTTTTGCATCTATATTTCATATATATAAAATAGCACAGTGTTGAACTATTTAAAATAGCCACAAAGACAAGTTAAGTGGCTTCCATGTCTATAATTAGGAAGGTTGAATTTTTAAATTATTATTATTTTTTAAAGATTTTATTTATTTGTCAGAGAGAGAGAGAACGCACAAGCAGGGGAGGTGGCAGGCAGAGGGAGAAGCAGACTCCCCATTGAGCAAGGAGCCTGATGCGGGGCTCGATCCCAGGATCCCGAAGGCAGCAGCTTAACCGACTGAGCCACCCAGGCGTCCCTTAAATTATTTTTAATAGAGGTGTGTCAGAAATGCCTTTGTCGGCTAAAGTTTAGAAGTCTGTAAAAGTCGCCTATGAATATTTATGTCATTAATGATAATCATAAGGTAGTAAGCTTTGTGCTGCCCATCGGTGGGGATCGTGGCTTTGAGAGTCATGGCACTTAATTCATGTTACCCTCTCCAGAAACGCCGGGTGGACAGCAGTCAGGGCAGCTTCTGATGTTTCTCTTCAAGAATTCCAGTGGGGTTCCAAAGCCTGGAATTGGTCTTTATTTCTAGCTCCTGTCACTACAGCTCCCTAACACAACATCCAGCCTCAGCTCCAGCGGCTAGTTTGTGCGCCCACTGATCCTCATGGTTTTGGTGTCAGGTTTCAGTTTGTGTCTTTGTAGGTAAAACGTTATCATCCTATATATCAGTGATCCAGGGCACGGCTAGCGACTATCAGGGTAGCATGTAATGATTCCTATGGAAATACTGAAAATAGATGAGCAAATACCATAAGTATAGATTTTATTTTTGTTTAGCCTATGGTAAATATATGATGCTACTTTGTTGTGCTTTTTCTGGTTATATTCTGGTTGAATTGTATTCTGTTTCAACAAGACTGTTCTGAGTTTGCTCAGGTCTCCTAGTTTCCTACAAAAAGACATGCATACTGTTGCCTATGCATATATTCCCAGGAGTAGCAGATTCTTCTCTGTTCATTGTATATTGGAAAAAGTACACGGACAAAGAGTTCATGCAGGACGAGGTGCGGCCAGGTCATCCCTGCCCCAGAGCTGACTCCTTCAGCCTGGCGGACAAGTTTCTGGAGGAATAAAGAAAAAGTTCAGAGAAGCTCCCATTCTTTTCTCTAACTGTTTTTTCTTCCTCTTCTCTCGACAGGAACTTTTTACCCCTGAATGCAAGTTTAAAGAATCTGTTTTTGAAAACTATTATGTAATCTACTCATCTATGCTATACAGACAACAGGAATCTGGTAGAGCCTGGTTTTTGGGATTGAATAAGGAAGGGCAAGTCATGAAAGGAAACAGAGTAAAGAAAACCAAACCAGCAGCTCATTTTCTACCCAAGCCATTGGAAGGTGAGTGTTATGTGAACATTATCCCTCTCAGTCTGTGACACGTTTATTTTTCCCATTGCTAACTCTACATTGGCCACAAGGAACCCTCAAGAGAATGCTGGAAATTTTCCGTATCTTGATCTGGGTGGTTGTCACACAAATGTCTACTTAAATTATGAATTTAAGATTTGTACACTTTATATACATGTGTGTGTGTTTATACATTTTATAGATATATAATATATACACACATATACATATATACACAAATTGACAGAGTATATAAAAATATATCACATATATACACATATAGCTAAGTTTTGAAAATTATGGAATATAAGTATTTGCCCATTTTGATAGTCTCCAGCTAAAATAATCACATACTTGTGAATTACTATAATTAGAGAGAATAAAGAGTTAATCTCTTGGCCTTTAAAGAGCTTGTTGATGTCAGCTGTCTCCCTTCCAGCTGTACACTTGTTTAGTAAACTCGGCTATGGCCCTGCCTTCTTCTATATTCACCTGTAAACAATGAAGCTTTCACGTTCACTTTGATCAGATTCCCAGAGAGCACACTGTAAAGTGTTGCTAATTAATCAGAAACTTCTGCACCTTTTTCATTAAGGATTCTGCCAGAAGTGCCCTTTACCTTATCTATATAGTATTCGAGAACTAGGGGAAAAAAAATTGATCTTGAGGCATTTCAAAAGTGTTGTCTATTCAAATACTTCTACCTTTCGCAGAAAAGCAGATCTACAATAACTCAATAAACACTTTCATCTAACTTAGTTTGATTTTCTTTTTGTTTTTTGTTCCTAGAGGAAAGGTTTAGCCATCAAGAGAAAATGTATATTGGTTTTATAATCCATCTTCTCTATAGGAATAAGATAATTCTAAATATTAAAGGTTAATTATTAATTATTTGTGGATGTATAATTCAGCTTTCAGTTTGCCTATGTTTGGAAAACCACTCTTGTTGGTTAATACCATCTTTATAATTTCAACAATGATGGCTTACTATCCCCATAACTAAATTTGCCTATAGAACAAGTCATTGAAACCTAAACAATTAGCCACAAGGGCCTGTCTAGGAAAGGAAAAATTATACCAGAGTCTGAAATATGAGTGAATTATTCTCATTATATGATAGATCATCAGAGTAGAATTAGAGTAGAAATAAGAAGTGAGAGGGTTTTACTGTCCTTCCAAAGTAACACCTCTGCGATTTGGCCTTACTGTTTTACATGAATCGAGACCATCAGACTCACCAATATTCAAATGCAAGTGAAACATTTGAAAACTAAGTCCATAAATCTTGTTTATTTGCCACCTTGCTTTGTCTCTTTGCATTAACTTTTGTTTTGAATATGAACAGATATGAACTAACTAAATTCTAAAACCTTATCTTCTAGCTGCATAAACATAATGAAAACCAAAAGGGCCTTTATGTCTCTTAACTGAGGCAAAAGCTGGAGACCAGATATTTTTATATACCTAGCAGGAAATATCTAAGACTGAGATGTTGGGTGTAATAATACCACTTGGTATTTGAATCATACACTGAACAGTTGTGTGTATGTGTGTGTTGTGCGTTCATGGACTTCAGAGGCAGAGAGAAACAGTATTTTCAAATAATTAACAGACAGAAGTACCCTAAAAATAATTAAGGGGGTATTATAATGACGGAGGTTATCACATAGTGTAATTTATAGAGGAAGATTAATTTCAAACTTTCAAATCCCATACAGGATGTAAATTACATGATTGGAAACGTTAGGGCAAATTAGGTACTTGATTTAATCATTGATGCTCTGGGGCATTCATATCTCTTACACAACTTCACCGCATGGACAGTCAAGGTTAATGCTCTGACGCCATTGTCTCCTAATTGAATTAGTAGCGGGAGTGAGAGATTGGAAAGCGCTTCAGGGATATGGATTAATCCCTTTTAGTACCTTGCCGACTCATCTCATGCAGGTCTGGTATACATATGCGCTTTCAGAGCTGTGTGCTGCTGAGAATCCACATGGTGCATTGATCCAAGAGCTATAGATCTACCACTATGATAGTCCACCCACCCGACCATGAAGAGACAGAGTGAGTCTCTTCATGAAATATCCTATAAACAAAACACTCTCCAAAGCCTAAACAGCAGGTTAGACAGCTCTAATTCACCAGTATTTCTGATGGCAGATGATTCTAACTTGGCTGATTTCCCCCAAGTCAGTCTTACATGTCCTAGCACAGGATTCCCTAGAGTCAGTTGCCAAAAAGCCACATGAACTGTTGTGATTAACTGCGCCACTGGATACCCCTCAAGCAACTCCTCCGTGCTCACTTGCACATGGCTCCCACTTGACCTCTTGTCACTCTGTGCTTCTGCCTTATTTTTAACAAGCTATCAGAAAACGAGGCAAAAAAATACAAAATGCCCCCCACCCGTGCCTTCAGTTTCCATGATGGAGGGAGAGGAAATCTAAAGGCTGATCTCCAGAAGGCCCCGGCTTCAGGAAAGTGAGATCCTGGTCATTGCTTGGGGATAGCTTTGAAGTTGACACTAGAGTGATTGTGTTGCTTTTGAACCACTTGAGAGAAAAATAATGTAATGATCTAGGGTGTATGTACCTGGCCTCGAAAAGATGAATGGGAACGAGGGGGTTCAGGGGTTGACATGGACGTGCCCTGGAAGGGGAAGTCTGCGCTTTCCTAGTTGTGCAAAGCGAAGTAGGTTAAGTGCTCGCCCGTCCCCCACACTGTGTGCGCGCGCGCATGCGCCTCAGACGTAAGGCGCACAAAGAGGCCACAGCTCCTATTTACACCTCCTCTCCTAGACAAAAACCCAGCGCACCCATGTCCATATTTTAGTTCTATAATCCAGAGAATGCGAAGGAAGTCATTGCTGCCCGGGGCCGGGGAGGGGAATGACGGCTTCAACACAGCAGTTCCCTCTGCTGCGCGGGGGGCCTGGCCACGCTCGAACCTAACCAGGTCATGTCTCCTTCCCTCCTTCCTTCATGCCCTCCCGCCTGTCACCAGTTGCCATGTACCGAGAACCCTCTTTGCATGACGTCGGAGAAACGGTCCCGAAGGCCGGGGTGACGCCGAGTAAAAGCACAAGCGCGTCGGCAATAATGAATGGCGGCAAACCAGTCAACAAAAGTAAGACGACATAGCCAGATCCTCACAGGTGTTGTGACTTTCTCGTCCTGAGCACAGTGGAGTGATTTATCCTTGCCAGACATTCCTGCGCCCGTGGCTGAGGAGCGGCTGGAAGCAAGCCGAGGCTTGCTCTCGGCTGTCTCGAACTTCTTGGTTGCGAGCGGATAAATCTCCACCTGTCGCGCGCCCAGAACAAGAAGACACCTGGACAACCAGCTAAACTCAGACCATGGAATGCCCTACCAGATATGGAATGCCTTTTTAATATCTTTTCTGTGACCGTGACACTTCATGTGAATGACACACTTCACAAGTACACTCGATACCTTGCCTGCTGACAGCTACCCATAATCCTTTTCGAGTCCTGTTCCAGCGAAATCCATGTGTTTCAGTTCAATTTTGTAGCACACCAATACTATTGAGTAATTTCTAGTTAGACGCTGTAAACCTGTGCTATTAATGGATTTCTCTTCTCCCCGTTTTCACAGGGCTGCTCGCTCCGCTGTCTGTGACCTTTTGCAGAGATTGTACTCCTCTAAATCTTAAATGTGGCAGTTGGCCTAGTTCGGAGAGCGATCAAGGAATCAGGAAGCCTTCTAAACCTATTATTACAAATTGCATCTATAAAGATTAAGAGTGTTGTCTCCGGTTCCCACTATCGATTAAACACACATATACGCTCTATCCAGTACAGATACTGTGTTCTTGAGGTCGGCGTTGCCGGGGTGAGAAATGGGTCAAACACAGTCCAGGGGGAAGCTCTCTACCGTATGTGTTTGACCTTCCCCCTATAGTTTCTTTGTGTGTGTGTGTGTTTTATACATATCACAAGCTTACTGGTAATGGTAACATTTGCCTTGCCCAGCGAGCAAGACCCACTGGTTTTTGAGAAAGTGGGTCCAAAGAACTCTGTAGGCCTTGTAGGCCTGATTAAGGTTCATTTTTCATCTACTGATCCTCATTATTTGGACAAAAGAAAAAAGAAAAAGAAAATTCAATAATTACAACCTACAAGAATTGCGCTACCTAAATCCATTTCCGATATAATCCTACCGGTTTTTAATGACCCGAACTGAATGCCATCCCCGGGTTTGGCTGCGTTCCACTCATACTCAGCAGAGCATGGGCAAGGCGGCTGTTGTGTTCTTTTCTGCAGCAGCAATGCAAACGTTAGTTATTAAATTAGACTTTAATATTTTTGGTGTTTAATGACAAGTTTTTAAACTGGACATATTAGGAACAACTATTTTTTTTAGCTCAGCATGCTGAGTCAGGTACTGTGTATCTCACCACTCCATACCTGTAACTCAGCTTCTCGGGGCCCCGATAGCCCAGCGGCTGGGGTGAGGTGCCTTGCCATGAGCTCAGAATGCAGTCTGTTGAATTCTTCTGGATAAAATTCAAGGCAAACCAACACGTTCAAACATCAGGTTTTTGGTCCACTCCATTGATCTGCTTTTTGTTTTATTTTGCTTTTCTTAATTTCCTTTTGCCTAAGTCCGAGTGCAGGGAAGACAACCGCTAAGAAAGGTCACCAATGGTTGACTGCACAGGGAAGAAACCATGCAAACCGTTCACGATGGGATGTAAGGAGTTTCAAAATGTGGAATACGAAACTGTTTGGAAATATATTTGTTAGCTCTGTGTATACTTAATAAAATTCAATGTTTCCTCCTCGGAAGAGTTAACTGAGACCAAACTGAACCTCATTTATAGAAAACTATACGCAGGATCATGTACTGGCCTCTTGTGATTATTTCCATGAGGAAGGCTGACCCAGTCGCCATCCCCCCCGCCCCCCGCTCCCCTTCCCCCCCCCCGCATCTGCACTGTATTTCCTGGGAAATTATTTTGCCACTGCGTTCCTAAGTCTCCATGACAGCCCTTGCCCGGCATTTAAAAAATTTTGGCCTGCTTAGCTGATTAAAGATTTAGTATAAATTTAACTGTTTATGCTTACTTCATTTTCATATTGGATTTCATTTTAATAAAGAAAAAGTTAGCATAACGTTTGAGTAGATTTATTGTCAATAATGTTAAAGTACGAATACAACAAAACGATTCCTTCAACCATTCTTGATTTCTTGTGACACCATTTTAAAGCCTATTGTTTTCAACAGGATGAGTTAAAACCCATTAGATGGATTTCACGAACCAATTATTTAGGGAAGACATGTATTCTATAATCTGTGGCAAACTGAATTATTTAACTTGACATTCCAATTAGATGGGCTTATAGACACTGCTTGCCCCAACACACACACACACACACACACACACACACACACACACACGTACACACCAAACAACCCCACCTATTGGTTTTTGGTAATCAGCCCTACTTGCTATTTTTTTCCCCCCGCAAGCCTATTTATTGGTTAAAATTAAGACAAGATTTATTTTTGTAAATGACTGAGATTTATGTCAATGTGCACCTCTGTTTTGTTTTGTATATGAGTTGTCTCCAAGGGCATTTATCCCTATGAATGGATGTCAAATACTTTCTTCTAATATATGTTTAGACATATTGCAGACGGGTCCTTGTTATTTGTAAATTAGACGGTTTCCTTCGTGTCTGGTCTCACCTGTTGCATGGGACGAGGACAGCACTGAGGAACTGCATGTAGTAAGACCTGTGTATCAAGAACTGTTGGTATGTACTATTCAATTTACATACAAAGAGTCTGTCTGCATTGTACAGTTCCTGTGTTTAATACCATTTGTTGTATTCACAAATACAACATACTGAATAAAATATTGATATGAAGGCATATTACAAAACATCAAACAACTTTATGTAACAAAATGGCATTGCTTCACCCACGAATATAGAGAAATGTCATGTAAATAAGTTGGTACACTCAATGTTCCCCTTGACCATGCCAAAGAAAATTTTAGCTCTTTGATGATACCTCTCTTGCTATTTTTCTGGGATAAGATGCCACCATTTTTTCCCCTCAAAAATTAAGTTTGCTGTTGTTAAGCAAGTGCAATCTGTCATCATTGATGTTCTGTATAGTAAATCTGATGGAATTCATTTGTATCTACAGACCGTGTGTTTTGTACCTCCATGTACATTTGTCAGTTGCATCGAGTCTCTCTAATGTTACATTCCTTTTGCATGCGTATCTGGTAGGGGAGGATTACTTCTACTGCTCTGTTACGGTAGCTGATTGCTTCACCCACCCCTCTGCAACCCTTGGGAATGTTCGTTGTTTTGATATTCCAGGGGACACCACTTTTATTTTCTTTTAAGTTTGCTTTCTAAAATATTTGGCTACAACTTTACTTGGAAAAATTATGGAAGAGATGCAGATGGTGCACCCTATGTAAAGAGTAAAATGGTACTGAGCAAGATTTCGTTACAAATCCTGCAGAATTTAGGGATTCTTGCCCTAAACATTTGCCTGCCCTGAGTGTTTGGGGATAGGAGATAGCTTTAGGAGCTCCACAAATGGGCCAACAAGACTCCTGCTGCAGTCCTTCTAATTATTTACCTCTTGGAGAGTAAGCAGAGTGAGTATTTTTAACACACCGGGCCAGTTGCTCACTTAATGCCTAAAGCACTAAAACAGTCAGATGTTTTCGAGATGACCAATGTTAGATTTGGTTTTCTTTTAGAAAACAAAACAACAACAACTTCTTGTTCCTTAAGTTAGACATGTATCACTTCATTTAAGGTTTTATTCCTAATATTACAGGGAGAACTAATGTTTGAAGGAGAGACCAGATTGACTAAGAAATCCATTTTAGGAGGAAATAAAATAATTGAAAACTATTTTCGATTGTATTTAAGAACAAGACTATTTCCAGGGAAAGCAATTGGCTAAACACAGACATACCAACATCCAGTCGCAAACGGTGTTACTTTGGAGTAAAATACATTTCCTAGCTTAAGTTTCTTAGCTTACAAGGGGGCACACAAGGCCTATTGACTCTTGGATACTGGGTGGGGCTTCAGAGATTGATAGTGAGTCTGTAAGCAAAGGCTGAGTGGTGATTCGTTTTGTTTTTTTTTCTCAGTTATCATTCTGTCTGATCCTGATGTTTGCTGGCAAAGATTGTGTTTGCATTTGAAGTGGTGGAGGCCATTCCTTTCAAGGTGCTGCAGGAATCTAGATGAGCTCAAGGGGTCCTGGGAGAAAATGGGGTATAATTATTAGCCTCCTGGGTCTTAGGACCTTAGCTGAATTTTACTGAAAAGTCCTTGTGGAAGAATTCCTCAGTAACGGTGTGCCAACAAGCAGGGTGAGGGCCAACACCAGCAGCAGACATGTCGCATCCTTCCCAACTGACGTTAATCTCCCCATAACTTCACACGAACTTGAACGAGCCGATGAGCTTCGCACATTTACCCTTCCCCTACTATAAGTCTGTTCCTGCCCTGCCTTTTTTTGAAAGAGGGAGTTTTTTACCTCAGTAACAGAATTAAAAGTTAAAATACAAAATCACATCAAAGAAGGGTAGGATTTACCTCTTTACATGTAACCGTATTTTATTTTTTCCAACTTAAACATGTAAATTAAATAACTTCTTAATAGGTCTATTGATGATTGCCTTGCTACAGTCAAATTCATATACATGCATACGAAATATTATAGCAGACAGAAGTAAAAAGAAACTATTTCTGTTTTAAAAGAAAAATATTCATTAGCGATTAGGTACCAGGTGACTTATTCTATAACTCAGTTTCAGTTCAATAACTTGTGGCTAAATCAACCCAGGAGATAACTGACTGTCATATATTTTCAGCCTTGTCAAAAAATTTGAATAAATCACATTGCGAACTTTCTAGTATAATTTCTCTGTCTCAAAACTTTTCTCTAAAAAAAGTAAATGCTGAGGACACTTTTCTTATATGAAAATATAAAAAGAGAAGCCCTTTCTTTGTAGTTGTTAACAAAAGGGATAACAAACGTAGAGAACCGCAAGAAAAATAAGACACACCCAGGATTCCAGGATAAGACAAAGGAAATTAAGGGCAGCTTCAGGAGAGCTCAGGTTGGCAAAATGCTGCCAGAAGGCTGGGAGCCAAATCGAGCACAGTCTGTTTTTGTAAAAATGCCCATGAGCTCCGAACGAGTTTGCTTTCTGTTTTCCCTTTTATAGTTCTAAAGTATTAAAAACAAACAGAGAAGATCCAACAGAGATGTATGTGGCCCACAAAGTCTAAAATATTTACTCTGGTCCTTTATAGAAAGCAGAGTTCTGCAGGAGGGGAAGCTGAAGGTCGTTTGTATACGATGGCTTCTAGATAATGAAGGGAATTCTGATGATGGTGCATCATCGAGTCATCAAAAGTGCTGCTGAACAATTACAACAGGTTGGTGTGAGGCTTAAAACAATTAGATAGAGAGGAGGAAAGAATATACTCTATATTATTTCTCAACTGCTTCTATTTCCCTCATTTTACAAAACCGATATATCAACGGACATACTCAACAAAAGAGATACAACTAATACGGTTGCACTCCATAATCTCAGGATAGAGATAACAATTTTATAAATCTATTAAAGTATGAGAACACTATTAGTACTATAAAAGTCGGCATCAGATAAACTTTCTCCTAAATAATTTTCAATATTAAATTTTTAAGTAACTCGGCAGATGCGTATTTTCCTTATTTCTGGTGACTTGACTTATAAAGTCCAAGCCATGACTCTAGAATATTTACATCATTAAGTAAAATTTCCAAGTAAAAATTTTCATCTTAAACAATGCGGAAAAAATGGTTTTGTTACATTATTCTAGGATTTTACAAAATATAATTCGCATTTAGAAAAAAAATGGGTTTTTTTAGCTCCAAATAATTAACGGTTGCCTAAACTAATGTGTGTAAGTAGATTTAACTGTAAATATGTAAGGGAAGTCCTAATTATTGTACATTTTCATAATTCAATGTGAATTTCATACAGAGCAAAATTTCACCATTAAGAAAATAAACATTTTGTTCCTATCGCTGAGTGAATATTTGTAATTTCTACTTAACACATTTCTAGATTTTTTTTTAACCCTTTGAGCTTTGAGACTGGCGTCATTTGATCACAGTATCTCTTCTTGACTTCTTGGCATGACCCTACTTTTGCAGTAAATAATGTGTCCTTAGAAATAAGAGTCTTTTAAGGGAAATGAATGCATATTTCAGGCCCATCGTAGGTCCAATTAGATACTGTCTTTTTAAAAGGCAAGTTACCATGGAATAATTTAAATAGTGAAAAATCAAAGAGCTTATACTCCTACCCCTGCCCAGTTTAAAAAGGGATCTAGGAACGTAAGGTGCCCCTGAATACCAATTCATTTTGTGTTGTTGTTAATCAGCAGTAGGCAAATATATATTGACGCAGATTGTAAGCAACTTACGTAACTATTTATTAAAAATGTCAAACTGTACATTTTTCATACTTCCTTCCTGAGAGAATCTTCTTTTGTGAGTTTAAAGTGAGATCAGACGAATGACTTACTGGCTAAAACTGACCAGTCTTTTTCTTTAAAAAGCACTGGTGATCCGCCCTCTGCCCCCCACCTCCCCCGCCCCCTGACATTTTCCCTTATGTGTGCCTGTCTTTATTGTCCCCACAGAGAAATGCTGAGTGACAGGGATTCCTGCAAAAAAATATGATCGATGGATTTATGTGAGGGTATTTCCTTAGATTCTCATGGGGTCTTTCTTGTGAGGGATATGCATGTCTAAGGACCATGTAATTCAACGTTTCTCAACTCCGGCGCTATTAACGATTGGAGTCCGCTAACTTTTTGTCATGGGGGCCGTCCTGGGCACCGTAGGATGTTTAAGCAGCATCCCTGGCCTCTACCCATTAGAGGCCTGTAGCATGCCCTCCCATCCCACCCAGTGTGACGATTGAAACTGTACACATTGCCAAGTGTTTTCCGGATGGCAGAGTCACCCTTGTTGAGAACCACTGATGTAAATTCTGGAAGAGACATTCTTTCTGGCGTTATTTACATCAGACTTTGCTTAATTCATTTTTTAATAGGGACCCGGACTTCATGCAGGCATTCAGAAACAGAAAAACATACAATAGTCTCTTTGACCTGTCCTAGTGGTGATTATATAGGGTTGCCTTTGCATTTATATTGTTCTAATGGAAAAGGAAAGACTCCAGTCCTCTCCTATGTAACTGTTAAGGATACTCTGTGCCAAGCCAGATTTCACATGCATTTCCGTTCCATCCATCCCAGCACTCACAGTTCCCGCAATTACAGATTCCATTCCCTGCAAGGAAATACACGGGGGATCACCATCATGACCGAAATGCACCAAGTTAAAAAATGTTCTTATCAACCACAGCCGCTCATAGTCGAAGCCATCCCATTCATCCTCTGCAGCCACCTTATTATGATCTCATTAAACAGCTATGGGGAATCTGATCTTTCAAATGATTGCTGGCATCCACTTGGTGCCACCAGCTAGGCAGTATCCATCCAGTAGTGCCCACCCTGTTCCATTCCAGCTGGGCTTTGCCTCCATCTCTCTTTCCCCTGGAGCTTGTTTAAGCACATGTTTTATAAGCAGTCCTCAGGACTCAATAACCGGGAAGCAGCCCCGACCACACAGCCATGGGCGGCAGGCACCACAGGGCGGGCGCTGCTGGTCTTTCCCCCGAGCGGGGGTATGGGGCGAGCAGAGCAGGTCATACCACACCTGTGCAAACGAGGCCGTCGTGCTTGTCACAGTCCCTGTCGTCACAGTCACAGAGTTCTCCGGAAATATACCCCTCTTCCGCAGAGCAAATGCACTTTCCACAGTGGCAAGAACCTGAAATCACAAAGGGCACGACTTGCTGTCAGCATGTAACTAAAGGTTGCTGTCTAGAATAGAACACCGTCAACGCACGGACAACAGGCTTCTAAAAACCCATCTTCCCAAGGTACCAGTTTATTGAAGAGCCTGTTGCTCAGAGGGGAGCTTTACTTACCACAATTCATAAAGGTCATCCAGGAAAGGCTTCATTATGGATCTAGACAGTTGCAATTAGCCTTGAGCAAATGTTCCATGGCCTAGTCTGGTTGAAATGTCAGTAAGAGCAGAATGTGCTGATTCTTAGAGATGGCTTTCCAAAAAGGTGTTCAAAAACAGATGCTTCTCTCTCTCTCTCTCTTTTTTGTTTTCCTGAGTTGAATCATGTTTTAAAAGTGTCTGCTCTTTAAAGGAACTGAACGGTAAGTTCTAGTAAATAAGGATGCATTTTATAATTAAAATTACTACTAAATTATTGGGCTTCTACTTTTGGATTTTTGTCTACATGATTTTGTGAAAGGAGGGACACACCTGCGTATTGGGCGGCTCGTCAATGTGCTCCAAATGCACACACGACTACTCGTGGGCATCTGACTTATGGGCTCTCACCCCGGGGACCCCCTGCCACGATCAAGGAGAGCTCTAATCTCCCCCAAAAAGTTCATCTTCTATGAAGCTCTGCCAACTTTCTCATCACTTCACCCATTTCCCCTCTTTTTATTTCCTACCAGTAAGAAACTTCCACTTCTGCTATTAAAAATATCTTGGTGTACTGAAAAACAATTTTATGAATGGTATATTTAAAAGGAGAAAAAACACACGAATTAAATGATCTCACAAAGAGAAGAAAGTTCTCTTGGTCTACGCGTCCTTACATGACAGGCTCAAAAACCCTCACATGGCAAAATGACTTCTATAGCGGCAGTAAAGAGAACTTTAAAATTGAAAAGGAAACACACATCAAAAGGACTTCCCCTTCCTTCTATGTCTTTGGCTTGGATGTTCCTTCCCAATGTGATTTCCTTTTACTAAATGAGGGCTATCACTACATGTTTCAGGTCAAAAATCACCTTAAGAGAATGTGAAGGAGAAAAAGCATTTTGATTATATTTGACAAAATTCCAGACTTGTTAAGTTCAAAATGTAATGGGAGCGGGGTGGGGACCAATCACTAATTAGTGCCTCTGTGAGACACAGTGATTGAGAAATGAGTGTGCAAGCTGGGAGATAAAAGTGGTTAGAGAAAGGAATATTTGCCATAGATATCATGAAAGGATTCATATAAACAGGTCCCGTGCCTCAGGCACTTGGTGATATTTCATACGGAAACTGGCATATGCATTTAGCTATAAGAATCCCCAATGGCCAAATTAAACGTGTGACATGCCTTGTTACGCTTCTCAAGGTAAGGGGCGGGTCTGAATTAGTGATAGGCTGACAACTGTGTTTACACTGATCAACTCCTTGCTTAAGCACAGCATGATTTCATTTAGTCTGGACTGTTTTCCTGAGGGTCTAGGATGAGCTGCACGCTCTTGAGCACAGTCTAGACATCTCTCGCTTCTGATGAGTGACTGGCAGGCTGCATAGGACCCAGGAGCTGAGCCTCCTGGTCAGTCCGTGAGGGATGGTGGCTCCTTCTTGGCTACATCCAGGTAGAGAGCTTCCTTAGTTTAGAAGTGTATTTAACTTCACTTCAAGTACTGTCTTTTGATCTTCGTAGGCACAGAAATGTTCAACATACAACTACTCATTTAGCAGGTGGTTAGCGATATATCTACAACAAAGAAAACTTGGGGCGTTTCATTGACTTTTCGTTGCAATTTCCTCAGAAGGCACCGTATTTAGTGCCTTCTTTCCACGAGTAGAGGAAGATTAATTATTTGCAGAATTTGACTGGTTTTAGTTTTTTCTAAAATAGTGCCTCCCTTATATTGCAAAATTAGTTCTAGAAAGAAGCAGAAGCAAATGACTTTATATGTCCATGATATTCGTGTATCACACCTAGGATATCTTCTTTTATTTGGTCACAATTCATGAGAAGATCTCACATTTCACTTTTAAACTTATCCCCTGGCTCTGAAACTATTCTCATTGCTGCTCTAGCTTCTGAAATGCTTAGCTTCAGGCCATATCAACGTAGTTTCCCAAAACTGATAAGCTCAGCTAAAGTTAATATGGTATACACTGATAGACCGTTTGACAAGTAAATCCCAGTTCCCAAAGTCTACTAGTTACTGAAATACTTAGAATGCAAAATGCGGATTGGTTTTTGTGTGTGCTGTGAAAACTAGCTTTCTTGGTCAGCATCTTCCCCAGCTGTGTTGCTCCTTTCCTGTTTGTCAATTCTCAGTGTATCTTAGAGGTCGGAAATTCTTCCACAGCTTGTGAAACTAGGAATAGCCTCGCATGTAATAACACAGTGGGATAGTTATGAGGACCTCTTATAGCCTTTGTCTATGCTCTGGCTGTTTTCATCGATAACCAGAGGTCAAAATGCCTGTCTCTGCAAAGGGAAAAACTGAGGGAGAGGATTCTGTCGGACACACACAGGCCACATGACTGCCAAGAGGTGACCAACTGTTTAGCTCAGCTGGCTGGGACCCACTCACACCCATGAGGCCAGTCCAGCCATAGGAGAAGCTGGATCATGCAGGCAGGAGCTCCCGGGTAGTAAGTCCAGGACCGCAATATCACTAACCCATTTACTTTCTTTCTCGCTATAAGGACCCGCAAGAGGGCGCCGATCTCTCTTCTGTGCTTCTTATTGGCTTCCATTTCCCGGGGAACCAGCTGCATTTTCTCATTTGTCTTCAAAGCATCCTTAGGACTTAAGAAGGGGAAGGAAATGAAATTCTCCTGCCTTCAAACAAAGATGAGAAAATGGAAGTACAGACAGGATAAGGGGATTGCCCAGGGCCACGGGGGCCAGAAACAACAGTCATCCCAAGGTTTCAATCTGACTCAGTCTGTTCTTCTGTCTACCTACCTACCTATCCATAATGCCCCTCACAGGAAAAACTTCCATATAGTTTCAAAAAATGAGTTGTGTGTTCTCACAGCTCTGACGAGACAGCCGCATCAGGGGAAGCAACTAGAACACTGGGCTAAAGCTGGTTTTTGAAGGGCAACTGGTACTCTTCCCCTTTCCTGGGGGTGGAGGACGAGCCTGGGTGGAGTAGAGGGGATGACAGGCGGGTGGGCATGCGCACCGTGACATCCACGGCTGATGCAGGACTCAGCAAGTGTCCTTGGGAGAGTTTAAGGAGACATCCAATGATACACAACCACAGTCATCGTCACACAAGAGCAGCTTTAAGATATTACAGGTGACAACCCGGATCTAGGTTGAAGTTATGAAGGTAGAAAGGCTGTTGGGTACTCTTGGATCCAAATAAATAAATCCCCAAACAAACAGCCTATGAATTACGTCATGTATTCCGCAAAGGTGGCTACACTCAGGGGACACCTGGCTCTAAGCTCATCCCTCTGGCTGTTCACAGAAACAATTTGAGTCTAAGGGCAAGGCACCTTTGTTGGCGGTCCCATTAATAAAGTTGGACTTTCCTTTTCGTTCATCAAGCCTGACAAAATGCTGTAACCTGACATGCCAGCAGGGACTTCTCACGATCGTACTAACTACTGCATCTGTTACGAAGGTCACCACAATGTATCTTGTGTTCAATTTTTCTATGGAGTGATTTGTTGTCTTGGCTATCAATTTGTAAAGAAATAAAATGCTATTTCTTCATCGTCTCCTGAGGTGACAGCTTTATTCACAGCTCACGGGAAGCGCATGTTCCAGACTTGTCTTTCTGGTGGAAACACTTAGATGGCAGTCACCTCAGGCTTACTGCACATGCCTGTCCCATATTTGGAGAAAGAGAAAGGCTCCAACTTCCTCTGCGATCATCAGGGTGAGGGGTTTTCGTTTGCAAATTTGAGAAAAAGTATGTGGAATTCTGGCAAGTCCATGAGATCAAGAAATACATGGTCCTGGTCAAGGCCCACTCCTCTATCTTGCCACCATGTTAGAAGACCGTTAGTCTACTTCCTGGACTACTTTTCCTGTGGTTCTTGGGGTGGGGTTGGAGTGGCACCTTCCATGGGGACAGGAATAACGGCTGCACCCCCATTCTCCTCTGTGCCTACAGTTTCATGATCTTAGCCCCTTTCTTCCTGTATAATCCAGCACAGAACTCTCCAGAACAGGAGGAGAGAAAGAGGCCAGAGCCAGACGCTGCCAACAGGGGGAAGGCCCGCCATCAGCACTAACACCAGCCTCAAAACGTACAGCCTCCGGACAGCTTTCACATTCTCTTCTGAGTTTAACGACTCTGAAACTCTCTACTCACTGAAGGATAAACCGCTTAGACAAATAGACTTTCAACCCTTCATTGATCTCCGGATATATTACCATCACCCAAAGCAAACAATTTGAGAAGGCATTAACTAGAGAGATTTCCTTGTTCTGTTTTGTTTTGAGGAAATGCCTTTGGGTCAACATTTAGTCAAGCTATTCTTTTTGCATTTTCTGCATTTGTGATGCTGAAGAGTAAGACTCTCCTCAGAAAGTAATGGCTTTAAAAAAGAACGTTCATTTCTTCAAAAGAAACGGCTCCTCTTTGTATGAAATTCAGTGTAGCAAACGACAGACTGGTATTTGCTATCTGGGTGAGCACGGCTTTGTGCTTTCTGCCTGTACCTGCCAGTGGACATGACTTAGCCAAGGCCTGCTCGTGGACAACGTTAATGATTCCACAGTGTGTCTAGTAAATACACACACACACACACACTCCCAAAGTGGCTGATTTTTTAAAGTAAACTAATATTAACGAGCACACTAACGTTTTAATATGACTGGGAATCCTCATTCTGTAGAGTTTCTGGGAAAATTTACTATCCTCATTCCAACAATAATGCCATTATGGAAAACCAACTAACAAAAAAATCTAAGCTTTAGAGCTCTGTGTTTAGAGCTGTACTCAGAAAGAAGAAATCGAATTCAGACAAGGTTAATCATTCTCGCCCCTCGGTTATTTGCAGGACACTGCCTTCTGATCTGATAACATTTCTTCCCCCGCCAGTTTCCCCCTGAAAGGTTAAATCCATCCCTACTTCCTTTCCTGTTTTCTTTGTTAATCTCCTCCTCCACAATTCTTTCACCCTTTCTGGCTCTCCCAACAGAACTTGAACCTAAAGCAGGTGTTTCCAGGCATTGAGAGCCCCTGACAGACAGACTGGTGCTAGATTCATCTGGGAGTTGGAATTAGAACGAATTTAATAAGAGAACAAACAGGGAACAAAGTGGTTGCTTTAAACTCCTTCGATTGCCACCTGACGGTTACCATTGCATTAGGTGGAAGGCACGGCTTCCTTAGCAGAACACAAAGTCTTGAGGGTAAGCAGGGCATCTTCACCTCTAGCTGTGCCTTGTCTGAAAAGGGGACAGGGCTGTCCGTTGGGCAAGGAGGCCTCTGTGCTGAAGAAGAGAATCTGGACACCCTGTGCCATCTAGATGCATGAAGGGCAGCTCCTGAACGTTACTGAGAAACTGGTGAGCTTCCAGAACCTTCCTGGTATTTTCCTAGGCACTAGCAAGGAGGAATGTGACAGCCTTCTAGATGAGCCCATATGCACCCTGAGAACAGGATTTTAAAGTCCCTTCAAGAATTCACACAGAAACATCAACATCAAGGTGCCTGAAATTTAATCTGTCAGTATTCTTTCTCAGAAAAAAAAAAAAAAAATCTGTTTTGCTTTTCTGGGGGACTTCAGGGGACAATGGGCGGGATTGCTATTCTTCTAGAATTTGTTTCTGTAGTGAATGTTCGAATGGGATGGTGGCTCCTATTCAATCACCTTGCAAATTATAAACACACTGCAGGCTTGATTTTTGTTATATATTAGATTACACATGTTTGGTTGGAAAATTGGTGATTTTTAGGCCAAAGAAAATGACGCCAGAACTTTGAGACCCATAGACTCTTCCATTCCTTTTTTATGAAACAAAATATTTAGTTTCCCTTTTGTCTTTCTCCCACCTTCAGCCCTCCCCTCCTCCACACACCCATCTACATCATCCAGTGTCTGACAGTTCAGATACTTGGGATCACTTTTCTGCAGTTCTGGGCTGCGCTATTTTCACAGGTGAACTCAACAATTACCCCTCTGCCTTTTGGGAGGTCCATTCACCGCCCGTTATATCTCGTCGTCTTTTCTTCTTTATACATTAATTACAGGTCACTGAGCCACGACGATGGACGCAAGTGGCTGAGGACCTTTTCGCAGGAAACCCTTCGCACGCATTTCATTGTCTTAGAACCCACGCGTCATGCGGTTAACCTTCAAGTCTGAAGTCTGGTACAAGCCTAGGGCAGCATGCTTTTCATTCCTGCAAGGTGCCGTCTGGGGAGGGTTGTATGCGAGGCCGTACAAACCATGCGTCAGATCAGGGACCCGGTCCAAGCTCCGGCAGGGATACTCACCCTTCCCCGAGCACAGTATGCCGTCCGCTGACTCACACAAACTCTTGCTTTGTTCCTCCGTCAGGTTACACTTCCGCGGGTGCTGGCAGAGCTCCCCGAACCAGCCTCTCTCACACACGCAGCGACCACAGGAGCAGGTTCCGTGGCCTGCGAAGCAATCGCGGGGTGAGGGGGAGAGGGGGGGATGGGTAAATATCCAGCGGAATCGCAGATCTTAAGAAAGAAATACGTAAGCCGAAGGACCTCATTTCCTATCAAGCAAACACGCTTCCCTTTATACAGAGGCAATTGGGCATACTGTTTAAAAGAGCTTCACAACCGAGTTCCAGATTAACATGCTACATTTGAATGTAGCACAGGAGACGGTCTGAGAAAGAAAGAAAGCTTGAAACGATTTAAAATGGAATTTTATCATCCTTCCTTGATACAAGATACTCCCTCATTTGCATTTTTAACAGCACGAAGTCTCAGCGCGCTTCCTCATCGCGCTGGCCGTGACATCCAGACCAATTTGCAAGGCTAGTCACGTTACCATGGCTCGCTGAATTTATTGATTGCCCTCCTATTGTTTACTAATAAAAAACAAAAGGTTAACTTCCATAGGAATGGCATTATGTTACTTTATCTCTGTACCCTCCCCTTAGTAAAAACAGATATAAGTTTAAGTCGATTTATTGTATAGATTTTAAAAGCAGCATAAGGCTTAGATTCGTATCTTTGACTTTTTTTTTTCCCCTTTTGTTTTTGTCATTGGCTCCTGGTTCTGGGGATGGCTAGTTTTTGGTGTATCTATCACACTGTTATTTATGACAGTCACTCACCAGCATAAAGTCCATCTAATTGCTTGCCACCAACATCCCATTACATTGTCTCATCTGCCACTTTAATTTCTTATTTTCAACCAATGCTTCATT